ATATCTTCAAGTGCCACTCTGGGAATATGAGCATCTAATCCAGGCTGCATAACTGAAGGACTGCTCCACTTTAGAAGCAGATGAGATTTTAAATGGGTCCCTGCCTTCTGTATCACGGTGTCACTAAAGATACTATGGTACAGAGAAGAGGAGGGGAAGTTCGTCCTGGTATCCCGAGCCAATATTTAACTCTCAACCAATGTCACTAAAAATACTTGGAATCTTGAATTCTTGATCACAGCAATGCATCATGAAAAGTGTCAGGGCCAAGTGTTTCCCCACAAAGGTCATGGGGAAATTAAATGAGGGCAGGTGATGGCCTAGTGGTATTGTCAATAGACTGTTCATCTAAAGACCCAGATCGTGTCCTGGTTCGAATCCTGCCATGGCAGATGGTGGAGTTTGAGTTCAATAAATGTCTGGAATTAAGAGTTTAATGATGACCATGAATCCATTGTCAATTGTTGGAAAATCCTATATGGTTCACTAATGTTCTTTAGGGAAGGAAATTGCAATTCTTACTTGGCTTGGCCTGGCCCACATCTGATTCCAGACCCACAGAAATGTGGTTGGCTCTTAACTGCCCTAAGGGCAATTAGGGATGGGCAATAAATGCTGGGTTAACCAGTGGCACCTACATCCCGTGAATGAATGAAATAAAATCTGCTGGGTAACACTAGGACTTTTGGACACAATGGCTTGACAACGCACGCTGTTTACCTCATGATCCCATGCCTTAATATGTAATAGAAAGGCCAGAGAACAAACATTTCCCCCCATCCTCATATCCATTGAACTCTGAAGTGGTTGTACAAATCCAATCCCTCATTCCTATTTTAAGGAATTCATCTTTGCAACATATATAGGCACTTGGCCACACTTGGTCAAGAGTATTGTGTGCAGTTTTGGTCTCCTTATCTCAGGAAAGATGTTATTGTCATTGAGAGAGTGGAATGAAAGTTTACCAGACTTGTTCCTAGGAATGTGCGTCTATCCTATGACGAGAGATTGGGGAGACTGGGCCTATATTTGTTAGAGTTTTGAAGAATGAGAGATGAGCTCATTGAAACTTACAAAATATTTAAAGGGGTTGACAGGGTGGATGCAGGTAAGATGTTTCCTCTGGTCAGGGAGTACAGAACCAGAAGCACAATTTCAAAATAAGGAGAATTTGTTTTCCTCAGAGGGTGGTGAATCTTTGGAATTCTCTATCCCATAAGGCTGTGGAAGCTCAGTTTGTGCCTAAAATTGAGTTGATATCATTTTGATTATCAGTGGTGTAAAGGGTTATGGAGATGGTATGGGTTAAAGGTACTAAAGTGTCTGCTTAACCATGATCATATTAAATAGCAGAGCAGGCCTGAAGGGCTGAGTCGCCTTCCTGTGTTCCCAACATCTCTACAGAAGAGCATAAAATCTCTGGAATTCCTGGAAGAGCACTGTGCAATGCATTTGGTGGAGAATAAGGAGGAGAATGGTTAGGATTGGGAGCACATCAATATCGTCGTCAAAGTGGTCCATTTCTAATTCAGCGTTACCGCACTGTACACTTTTGTCGACAAGATATTGTAAGGACCCATGGTATAATTTTAAAAGAAAAGATTTGGGACCTTCAGGGACCTCATTTTACTATGTAATATTCATCGATCTGCAGAATCCCTGTACACTAAATGGAAAAGTAATGCACGTAAATACAGAAAAAGATAGTGAAGAACGTGGGTGGCTGACATGGTAAAAGGAGACAATGAAATTGAGAATGGAAAACAATTTCAATTAAAGGACGAAACATCTGTGAAGTAAAATGTGATCTTCATCTGCAATAATTAAAGTAATTAATGATTTGTGAATCAGAGTTTGCACAACAGGAAACCACACTGTCAAAAAACGATATGTGAAGCAATTAATGATTGACATAAGTTGCAGGCTCTTCTCTCCGTACAACCAGTGAAGTGTTGTGTTGTTGGTGATATTGTCCCTCATTAAGTTAGTCTCTTTCTGACTGTATTGGGAGTTCTGAAGAAGTTATAACATTAACACTAACTGTTTCTCCACAGATGCTGTCACAGTTTCTCCAGCACTTTCTCTGTTTTACACATATATATGTGTACATATATATACGCCAGTATTGGAAATGATTGAAGATCTGATGCCAGGATGGTGTTAAACGAGAAAGTGTTCAGAAACGATTTACAAGAATGTTGCCAGGGTTGGAAAGTTTGAGCTATAGGGAGAGGCTGAGTGGGCTGGGGCTATTATCCCGGAGCGTCAGAGGCTGAGCGGTGACCTTACAGAAGTATATAAAATCATGACGGGCATGGATAGGGTAAATAGACAAGATCTTTTCCCCAGGATAGCACAGTCCAAAACTAGAGGGCATAGGTTTAAGGTGAGAGGGAAAAGATTTAAAAGGGACACAAAGGGCAACTTTTTTGGACAGACCGTGTATGGAACGAGCTGCCAGAGGAAGTGGTGGAGGCTGGTACGATTACAACATTTAAAAGGCATCTGGATGGCTATATGAATAGGAAGGGTTTGGACGGATATGGGCCAAATGCTGGCAAATGGGTCTAGATTTATTTAGGATATCTGGTCTGCATGGGCGAGTTGGACCTAGGGGTCTGCTTCCCTCTGTACATCTCTATGACTCTATGACTCCATGCCAGGGGCAATTAGCTTGGTGTTTTAGCCAGTTCTCCTCCCCTAGACACTCCCAATTTTTTTAAAAAAGATTTATTAGATGGTCATTCATCAGTTTGCTGTGCATAAAGCAGTTCCTCAAAGGACAGCTCAAAGGAGCTGGTTACATAGATGAATAATTTGGAGAGGTTTCCGATACAGGCAGTATGCTGCTAATTAAGTACATTAGATTTTCCATTTTTTTACTAGGTGTGTGGGAGTCCAAGAGGTCTCGAAGTAGAACTCGGTTAGTTTGGCTGAAACTGAAAAAGGAACAGACGAAGAGGGAAAAAAAATCAATCGATATAATAACGAGGCACGGTCTGTCCAAAACACCGTCAAAACATTACATTTCCTGGAAATTGTCACGTTGTCAAATAACAACCAATAATTATCAGCTGATTTAAACATAAATATCTTATTTTAAATGTTAAAGAAAAACTATTTTTCTTCCTGAGTGTGATGATTCAGCACGAACTGACTACACTTCATTTTAATGGGAACTGTCGACCGAATTGAAATTGGAAATAGCGTAAAAACAACATATCCTTAAACAACTATCAATCCCAAACCCTAACAAAATCAGGAGGTTTGTTTTTTAAAAAGTATATAAATATATTTCTCTTTGGATTAATGTTTGGCAAATAAGTTGTCTCTCTCGCAATCAGAGGGAAAGTCTAGCCATACAGTACTTGCAAAGACAGTGTTGATTCAGCCGAACAGAGTAAAAACTGAGTAAACCAGGCTTCACAGTCTGGGAGGAAGGTTGGGATGGTGCAGCTCAAAGGTTCTCTCAATATCGGGTTAATGCCACAACCGCATGTGTCTTTCTGTTGTGTCATGAGCTCCGAAGGAAACAAGAATAGAGTGAAACAAGTAGAAAGAAACAAATAGAGGACAAACCTGGGGTGGAAGAAAAGAGGAAAGCTGGAAAACCAATACATCTGAAAGGAAGTCTTTACAAAAGGCGACTAGGATAGGAAGATGAATTGCATTCACCACCCACAGGCACCAATTCATTTATCCTCAGAGTGTGGGGGCTGCAAATCCAGCTGTTGTTTCATAGTACTGCTAATCTTTTTGCAGTGCATTTTATGCCCAAAAACAATTAGCAAAATGAGTTTCCTTTTCTTTTTTCCGATCGTGCAACACTTAGCCGATGGGTTTCTCGATCTGAAAACACTTTGTTTTTGTTTTTGCAATGCACCTGTCAGTCACTTTCGGGGGTGGGGAGACGGCTGCAAGGCTTTTGCGCTGAGGTGTAAACTTGTTTCCAATCATTCCTCACTCCACTATTTTTTTTCCATGCAAAAGGTTTAATTTAGAAATCTCTGGGCTGGACTGTTGTGCAATGACGTTAGTTGCATTACTGTGCTTTCCATGACAACGGGGGCGCGCCGCGGCCCGAATGGTGTGAAGTACCCGGGCCCAGCTGTCAATCAGCGGTGTTGCGCAGGCGTACTGTACGCAGACCCGTCCGCGAGGAGGCGGGATTCTAGACGATGGACGGAAGGCGCCCGCCAATGGTTACGGGTAGAGTGGGTGGGGGCGTGGTTGACTTACGGTTTGGACCAGTAGACACTGTGGAAAGGATTGATGGGCGGGCGTTGCGGTGGATGGACGGGCGGCACTAGCCAATGAAACGGGGAACCGGTTGGAGCCAATGGGGCCGCCATAGAGTGAGAAGGCGGGAGTTACATATGATGGACGGACAACATTAGCCAACGGCAAGGGGATCGTCGACGTCAGTCGTTAGGGCCCGGTAACGCGTAAGGGGGCAGGCGTTGAGGCATGATGAACGTGCAGCGCGTCCAATGCAAGCGGGCTTTGCGCGCGGGCGAGGTAGAATGATGATGGACGTGAGGTGTTAACCAATCGCAGGGGGGGCGGCGGCGGCGATAACCAATGAAAACTGGCGAGTTGATGGGGCGGTATAGATGTTGATTGACGGGAACCTACCGACCAATGGCATGGCGGAAGGCCGCGACCGCGGCCAATAGGAGCAGACGGAACGTGAAGGGGCTGGGATTTTGTTTGATGGACAGGAACCTCCAACCAATGGGTTTGGGTGAAGCGTAGGGGGCGGGGACAGAGTTGGATACACTGATTGTATGGAGGAGGGGGCGGTGCTCCGCTTAAGGCCCGCCCACGTGGGGGGCTCAGGCGGCGGCGGCGGCAGCGGGCTCTCGGACTAAGCTGATCCCCACGTGTGACAGGCTTAGTGCCGGTTGCTAATCGCTACTCTGAGTTTCAGGGGCTTCTTTTATTTTTTTGGTGTTTTTTTAAAAAAAAATTGGGGGGGGGGGGGGGGGGGTGGGTGAGTTTATGTGAGTGTGTGTCTGCCCGTATGAGTGAGTGAGTGAGTGAGTGAGTGTAAGTAAGTAAGTAAGTAAGTGACTGAGTGAGTGAGAGAGAGTGAGAGTGTGTGTGTGTGAGTGAGTGAGTGAGAGAGAGAGTGAGTGTGTGGTTCATTTTTTATACTTGCCAGATATGGAGGCAGACGGTAGCCAAGCCACCTCTGGCAGTCCAAACGACTCGCAGCATGACCCAGGGTATGTTTTGATCTGACTTTTTATTTTTCCTTTCGCTGCTCTCTTTCTTTCTTCTTCCTTTCTCCGTCCCGTGTTCTCTGTCTCCCTGTTTCTCTTCCTTTTCTCTTTCACTCTTTCTTGTGCACCTAGTTTTGTTTCAACTGCACTCGGTAAAATGGTCAGGTTCTACTCCTCCCCCCCCCCCCCCTTCCCTCCAGCACCTTCTCTCTCTCTCTCCCTCCTTTCTCTCTCTTCCTATTTAAGCTGCAAGTTACACGTCAAAATGGCCGATCTGACATCTGTGCTCACTTCTGTTGTGTTTTCCCCCAGTAAAATGTTTATCGGCGGTCTCAGCTGGCAAACCTCACCAGGTAAGAGAGCCCTGGCAAGAAAGTATTTCTTGCTCTGCTCGCAGCGCTTTTGTACGTGTGTCTGTGTATAGATATATGTGTATAACCTTGCAAAGAGAGAGGGGGGTGGGTGCTGTAGGAATGGAAGGAGGAGGTGTTGAGGGATTCAGTGAGCGATCGCTCTCTTTAGTTGCAGTTTTACAAGGTTGCTTTTTGACTGCGGCCGGGTTATTGTACAGCTAACATCATGGAGTTCCAGCTTTGGTCCTCCACACGACCCCTACGTTCAGTGATTATTTTTTAAGTCTGCATTTTGAAAAAAACTGCCCAGTGCCAGGCACACTAACCTGCTTTTTTTTTCTTTTTCTCTTTCTCTTATTTTCCCCCCTCTTGACCTTCCAATTCATTCTCACAGATAGCCTTAGGGACTATTTTAGCAAATTTGGCGAAATCAGGGAATGTATGGTGATGCGAGATCCGACCACGAAGCGATCCAGGTAAGATTGTCAATTTACTTTTTTTCTTTTTAAAAAAAATACATCCTTTATTCTTAGAGAGCGCTTCAGATTTTAAAATAAGTTTGATCTCGACGGCAGCCCCAATTCTTTTTCTTTTGCTTCTGATTGTGACACTGTCTCCAACGATAAGTCCCTCAGCTTATTTTTTGACATTGTGCTGATGGTTTGGAGGTGATACTTTGTATATATATGCGTTGTATTTTTTTTCTCGCTACATTTGTAGCCCGTCCCCCCCCCCCCCCCTTTCTCTTCCACACATTTGGGTCTTTGTACGGTCGCTGCGAATATTTTGACACTTGTGTTTGATTTCCTCTTCCCTGTTGCTCGTTATTTACTCATCGTCGTTTTGTTTCTTTGTGTCATTTCAGAGGCTTCGGTTTCGTTACGTTTGCCGATCCTGCAAGTGTAGATAAAGTATTAGCTCAACCCCATCACGAATTAGATTCCAAGACGGTATGTTTGTGTGTTTCTGTATTGATTTCCTTCAGTGTAAAACTGTAACAAACTGTTTACCTCCCAACCCCCCTCTTAAGGTCATTAAATACCTACTGTCTCGTCTTAAATAAACAAGTCAGGGAAAAAAAACCTCAAAATTAAGACCAAGTGTTAAAAATCTATTTCGCTGCAACTTTGTCCCCCTCCTTTTTAAGGGAAAATAATTTTTAAAAAATCGTTTTATTTGCTACCCTCACGGAACAGCTTCACTGTCAGTTACATAAATTGACAATCAAACCACCTAGTGGCCGATTAAATTGCTAGTTAAATGGAAGTCTTGCAATTAAATTCTAATCGCTTTTCCAAGCGGTGAGATCAGGATAAAACGCAAATGGGAGATGGTAAGCTTTTGATTTTAATGCATTTTTTTTCTTTCTTATTAAAGAACAGCCTCTTTTCCCACCCCCCCGCCTCCTTTTTCAAAAAGAAGCGACTGCCGCAACTTGAGGCAGAAAGTTTGCTAAAGCTCAATAGTGACAGCACACAAGCTGAGTTTGGCTGTAAATCGCATGAATGAGTTTCTTGTTGATCATTCTGTGTATCTTGTGTCATAGCATCTGTTTTGTAGCGTTCTATATACCCTTTCGACTTTGTTTTAACGTTCAGGACATGAATCCGATCTATTCCCCACGGCAGAAGCTGTTGTTTACGGTTGCATTAAGACATTATTTAGGTAATGACAACTCCATCAGAAGTAGTTTGTTTTCTGTTTAGTGACTTCTAGAAGACTGTAGTTACAGTACATACATGTTTTAAAAATCCTCTTTACTTAGTTACAGCTAACTAACTAATTTATACTGTAGTATTAAAAATGCCTAGTTTACAAATGTACGCAACATAATGGTTTTAGCCAGTGCTAATTTTTCTGTAGTTTTTTTAATTGAATGACATGGGAAACTAGTCATGGCTAGATAATCCAGTTTGAGTTCAGAGTTCTTGTACACTTTCCCCCAACCCCTCTGACAAACGAAAATTCTTTTGGGTGCGAAACTGGTTTCTCAGGCAACTTGCAATGACACTAGGTGAGATCATTAAAATTCCCACTCTCTCTTCACTCTGGCTGACACACTAGATTAGACATCCGCGAAGCACCCAAGGTATTAGCCTGCTCTAGGAAGGTTACTTAATGCTCCGAACGCTAAAGGAACAGAAGGGGCCAACTCCAAAGCTATCAGCAACATTGGTTTTGGGACTTCTAATGGGAATAATTTAGTGAAATTTATCTGGAACTAGCTGTGGTATTAACCTGTTTTAAACACTAGAAGGTGCAAATAATGTCTTTTGCTAAAATCCTGCAAAACAAATGGACTGTAAACTTGCAATGTTTTTCTTCCTGGTCTCAAACTATGCCCCAGATGTGAGGATTGCTTCCTCTTGTCCTTCTGATTTTGTTGATGTTTTTGTCCACCAGCCAATTATTTTAGTATTTGCAGTGAGATTTGAAGATTGTCAATATGTTGGGATTTGCTTTGTCCTGTTGTGGAAATAGTTTTGCAAATCTGTTTTGATTGCTGTCCTGAGCAAAGTTTTTGAAATGATTTTAAAGAGGGATTTGGGATGGTCATCCTGTGTTGTGGTGTTTTTTTTTTCGCTGGGTGTGAGGTGTTGGCTGTGGAATTATAATGGGCTTTGAGGTATAAGGACACGATGCTGCCTGATGTTGTTGACAGAAGTGTAAGGGGTGAGTGTTGAAGGCGTCTATGCTGACTAGATTCAGGACAGAATAAAACACCTTCACTTGTTGTGGCTGCTGAGGGCTTTGCCTGTGTGGATTCAGTGATTTGTTCTGGGATATTCCACTCCTTTTCTTGTGCAACAGGAAAATGGCTGGAGAGATGATTCTGGGCTGGTAGTGCAGTTTTCCGCATTGAAGCTCCAGTCAAAAAGTGATGCCACCTCCAGCTGTAGGTGGCAGTTTGCATTTCTGTCTCTCTTCATTCTTCCCCCCCCCCCCCCTTTTTAAAAAAAAATCACAGACACACCTATTCCGCTTGCCATGTTCCCCAGGGCTTAAAATGAAAACGAATGAATGAAACGGGAGCAGTCTGGAGTTGAACAGTATCTTGACAATGCTTTCAATTTACTGAAGCGCTGCTGCATGTTCCTACTGGGTTTGAATGTAGCCTGTGGAATACCTGCCACCAGGTGCATAGCTCGAAGAATCTGGCCTTTGACCCCTGTGCCCAGGATCCCAGTCTTTCGTTTTGAAACTTGCTGAAATACAATCCTCTGGGCGCCTGTAGCCTTTCACACCTTGCACTTGACCAAGCTCCATATAAGAGCCAATCTTAAGAACGTTTATAATCTCTTTGTCATCGAGATTGGCTGTTACAGATGGGCATACATGACCACACCGTATGTTTTGAGGGGAAGGCTGCTGGGTTATGACCTGAATTTGCTGCTGTACTTGATTCCACCCACCTACAGGCTCCTCTCCAATCTATCACCATTTGACACATGCCCTCTGCACCAGGGTTGTCTCGTGCTCTGTACGAGCAGGGCTGTAGTTCTGTACGGGCTATGAGGAGGAATCTCCCTCTTTGTCCTGTCTCTGTCTTTCTAGCCTTGCTCCTCAGTCACGTTGCTGACCAATGACATTTGAAGTGAGCATGGTCATTGACCCCTGTGACTTTTCAATGATATTCACCTGAAATGCCAGTGTTGGTCTGAGTACCTGATACTTCCGCCATGATGGCGGAACTGATGATCCCATCAGTCTAGATGCCTGCTTGAATCTAGTCCAGTGTAGGTTAGTGACCTCAAAAGAAGAGGTCCCATTTGCCTGGGTTTTATCTTCCATTGTGGAATGGGGAGGGTGTCACTTGGATTTACCTAGTTACAAGCTCAATGGAGATTTGTAACTATATTGGGAGCTGGGCGGAAATTGAAATTTTAGTTGGATTCACATCCACATCCAGTTGGGGCTTACAGCCAGGAAGGATGCTGATCAGGGTAGAAGTTTCTGGAGTTGGGTAGTCGCTGTGTGGTTGTTGGACACTCAACTCAGTTGGTTTAGGAAAGTTTGTGCCCACTTTGTCTTGTATTGGCTCCGCAGATCCAGTGTGGTGTTGAGAAAGGTCCCAGTGGACAGGGGAGAATCAGCAGGAATCTCCCTGGTGACAATTAACAAGTGATCTCTTGCTGGACGTGTGTGTTCACATGTGGCTGGAGAGCCCCTTCCATACAACCCCACCAATCGCCCCCATGAAAGATTTTGTCTGACTGACTAGTTTAGCGGTTGGAGGAGGACTCTGCAAATAAATTCCAACTTGGAGTTGACATCTTGAGGGTGGATGTGTATACTGGTGGTTGTGCACAGAAAGCCTCTTTGCAGCTCGGGTGCACGCAGGGAAGGAGCTGATTCAGAATTTTTTTCGTTTTTAAAAAGTGCACCTTGCTTTGCACAGCAGTGTTAATTCCAACTTGGTGTAGATTGGGAAATAAGTGCACTCCCTTTCTCTTGATTCTGGTTCTGTTTCATAGATGGTCTGACCTCACACGACAGTGCCAAGTGCAGCACCTTGCATTGGAGGTGTGTAAGCTTTGTGAATTGAAAGCACATTGACAGCACAGGAACCGGTCATCTCCCAGCAAGCACAAAGATATCTGTGACATTCTGTAGACGTGTGAAAACATTTAAGTGGGCTACCATGACCACATAAAGGTCAGACTGTGACAGTCAAGAGGGCGAAAAATAATTTCTTACCTCTTGATTTTTGTAACTATTTAAGAGTTGTTTCGCAACAGTGTCAAGGATGAATAATCTTTAAGACTGCAGCTGAAGTCTTTAAAACAGGTTAAAAAAGAAAGCAGTACAGGACATTAAATGATGATCAGTCCCTTGCAATTCTTGGATCCGACCTTAGAAACTTTCTGCTGTGATTCATTGCCTGAGAAACATGGTGTTTGTTTGAAATGGCCTGGGGTGGGGATGCATCCAATGACTTTCTAACCCTTTTCTGATTTGCTTCAACAGATTGACCCTAAGGTTGCATTCCCCCGAAGAGCACAGCCCAAGGTAAGTGGGAGGATCATTGTTGTCATTTGCGTTCTCCCAAGACACTGTGAAGGATTATTTTGAGGCAAGTCCTGTGGGAGGGGGTCAGAAAAAGAGATGTGTTGGTTCTGAGTTGGTAATAAACCTTTAAAACCTATGTGCATTGTTTGACGTTCTGAGATACGGCAGTGGGAGCATTTGTTACTGTGCTATTTTACACTTTTGTTTTCAATTGCAAATCGAAACCTGCTCTTGAGGCTTTTTTTTTGCTATTTACAAGTGGATCAAGGCTTTTTATTTGTTGTGACTTATTATGTGGCTTTTTGAAGAGTTGAAGGCAGCATTCCTTTTGACCTTGCTGAAACACTATTACGACAGATGGATTAATGCTAGATATTGAGGTTTGATTAGCACAGAGGCTCTGAGTGGGGGCAGCGGAGGATGGGAGCTGTTCATAGGGGGAAAGATGCTGTGCTAACAAGAAGTGTGTTGTGTGTTGAGCGGGGGACCGTCTTGTGAAAATGGAGATGGCAAGACGGGGCCTGAACCCTCCAGTGCCCTCTGACCTTTAGATTGAGAGGGTCAACATGTGGAGTTGCTTAATGTTGCTTTGAATGAGGGCTGACAGGATGTGAATGGGCCAAAAGCAAATTATGTAAATTGTCTTGGAGCCTGATTGCATTAATGCTCAATGACTCTGGTAGCCTGGAATGATTTGGTGTGTGTTTCAGGGAATCCTGTGTTAGCTGCTTTTCTTTATTTGTTTGTGTCTTTTTAAAAGCAAGTTTTCCTCCTGGCTACTGTGCAGATAAGCTTGTAGACTGTGGATGACCACCGAAAAGGACTTGTATTTGTTTGTAGCACCAAAGTATTTGGGTGTAAGTTGCCAGGGCCAGTTGGTAGGCGAGTGCAGTGAGAGAGTGCAGCAGTCTTGCCCGTGCCACCTCTGGAGGCTGGAAGGGGAGCTGCTCTCTTCGTTCATCAGTGTGATAAGTGGTCATTTTTCAACACAGTAGCCGAATCTGACATGAATGTAAACCAGGAAGCAGATGGGTGTGGGCCCTACCCATAAAAATACACATATTTAACTACTGTAATTTGCCCACCATCCAGCCTTCCGAGGGGGGCTTCCCGCCCCATCGCTACCGTTCCTGGAAATCACTTTTTTTTTCCTTTTTATTTAATGGACGTTTTCACAATGGTAACTTGCTGCTGAACATAATGGGATGGTAATGAAAAGGGGAAAAAAAATCTCACTCAATAGTCCTTGTGTGAATAGCACTAAAATTATATTAAAGCAGGAACTGTTTGAACTGTGACAGTGCTTAATGCGCACAGAGCTTAACACAAGGTGTAACAGTCTGGTGTTTAGAATGGTCTGTATATAAGCCTGCATTCGGCACTTTGAAAAGAGGTGATTGACGTAAGACTTAGACAGTTTCTGGAAAAGGGAGTTGAGCTATGAGTGAAACTGCCCCGGTCACGGCTTGGCATATGAGAGGCGCAATCTCTTTTTCCTGCTGTCTAGTTTCATTTGCCGTTTCCAGTAGTTTGTAGTATTTTTATAACTGGCTTTGGGCTTGCTCATTGGGATCTGCCGTGGGGAATGTAAAATGAGAAGCAGAGCAATGGAAGGTCACCTGGAAGAGCAGCTTCAGGTGGAAGGTGCAGCCGCACGGTGTAACTGTTTGTTTGTAGAGGCATGCTCTGGTTTGGGTTTGTATAGAAATAATTCGTGATTTTAGCATGAGGCAAACTCTCCTTTTTCAAACAAGAAGTTCTGCCACAACTGAAGAAGCTGTGTTATTGATGACCAGCAGCCTGGCTGACGGTACTCTTTCTCTCTTTGCCTGGTTGCTGCCCTCGCTGTGCTCACATGGGCAGAGGTCAGGGTTTGCAGGATGTGTGGAGGTCGCGACAATAGCTGTCAGGGCTCCGGCATCCGGCGCTTCCGCTGCCCGTGGACTGGAGCGTGCCCGGGCGGACGGAACGTTTTGACACCCCGCCGTTAGCGAACCTGCCCTGAAGCTACGTTGCACAGCAAGATCCCACCAATAGATTCCCGCTGTGACCTCACCTTTGAGCTGCCAGCACGCAAGCTTCGCAGCAGATTCAGAGACACCTCTGCAGTCTATCATACGCTCTGTGTGAGACTGTCAAAGCCACGTTCTGCTTGCTTTCGGTTTGACTTGCATTACAAAGGCACAAGTGGAGGCCAACAGTTGTCAACTCGAACTCTTTTTTTTGATTCAGAGCCTAGTGGGAACCCTTAATTCCGAGAATAAACTTTCCTGTTTTTCTCCCTCGGGTCTGAGCCTGGCTATGTTCTATGCATGTGTAGGTAGTCTTTGACTGTGGTCCTTAGTATTCAGTGTTGTCTGCACTTCTTGCAGAGCACTCCTTTTAGCAGTATCCCTCACTGGAGCTAACATTTAGACCTCCTCGTTGGCAGCAGTTGAAATGTACAGGTTTTTCGTGGTGGGGGGATTGAGGTAGTGTAGAGCGATTGGCATTTGGAAAGTTGCTGCTTGTGCACCTATTCGCTGGCCATCAAATTAAACCACCTCCATTGAGATATTGCTTTACTTTGAATATGACAAATTTGGGTCCTTTTTGGAAGTGCCAGGAGGGGTTGTAGATTTGTATTAAAAGTCAAATTGGTCCTGGGTGTACGGCATTGCTGGTACTGTGCGATTACACAGGTGTACATTGAGAGACTGTACGTAGCTGTGACCATTTTCACCCCTGCTTAAATCAGGCCCTGCTCACTCAGAGGTACATTTATGTGATTCGCAAGCTGAAATTTCTTTGACAACTGCGGCCTCTTTCAAGTCCCACTTATTCATCAGCAATGAAACACAGCTTCTCAATGCCTTACGAGACCTCCGCCTTCTACAACTGCATTCAATTTAGATCTGCCTTGAAGTCCCTTTTCTTTTTATGCGTGCGTGTGTATGTATTTTAAAAAGGCTGTTGAGAAAGCTTTTAAAATAAGCAGGGGTGACCTAGACGCATAAATCAGCCCAGTGTAATAAAAAGCACTGCTTGGAGCAGAGAGGCATGTGTCTGTGTGTTGCAAAAGGACAACAGGGAAGGGGGTGATGTGGGGTCTAACGTTCTCTGTTGTTTAGTCGAATCCTGCTCAGTTTCCCACAGCTATTATATGCAATGAAACTATCCTGCTTGAAGAAATGAGCCAGAACTAGGGCCCCATGACTAAGTGCTGGGAGAAAACCAAATGTTTGATGACAGGAGGTTACCAGAATAATTTTGTAAACATGCTCTTGGGTTTTTTTAAAAAAAATCTGTAATAAGACCCCTTTTCCCACATTCTTATCATGTCCATCTTGCTGTTTCACTGAACACTTCTTTTTTTTTATTCTGCCTCTGTCTCAAAGATTCCAATCATCAGGATTTTTCTGCTCCTCTTTTTCTCACTTTGTGCCTGCTGGGAGTGTGTTGATTAGTGTGATTTATTTTATTTTAATTTTTAAAAAAAATAGTGGACGGAGTCTGTTTACCTGCACATGTGGCTCAGCATCTCCTTTTTCCCTTGACCGCTTAACCCCACACCCCCTGCCCAGTACACCCCCACTACAGCCCTTGCTGAATGACCACCAACCTTTTGAGATGAGCTCTTTCTTAATTTGTTTTCCCAGAAAACCTTTCACTATGGTGGCAAACGGATCCAGACGTTGATAGCGGGAGGCACTGTTGCCGTGTTAGAGAGTGGGCATTGCCGGTATTGTTTGCTTCCTGACCCCCACCCGCCCCCGCTGTAAGGGGTCAGTGCGGGAAGATGAAACGGCAGAGTTTTTGTTTCTTGCCTGTACTGTTTTCATGCTGCTGACTAAGCGGGTCACGTTCATTTGCTGTTTGTGCTAATGTGATGCATTGAGCCAATATTTTTTTTTTAAAAAAAAACAAAAACATTAATCATCATGTTAAAATGAGGTTGCAGAGGAAATGTAACTCCCCAGGTGTATTCCCTAATAGCATTGCTGCTGGAATCCAGAGGTTCAGCATTGGGGAGACTGACCTCCGTACGCAAATGGAATTGTTGCTGATGGTAGGATCACAGTGAGGCATTATGTACTCTTGAGATTTTATTTCTTTTAGAACCACCTAGTGCTAAAGATTATAAATCCTGTCCTTCTAAACATGGGTTGTGTATTTGGAGGTCACGTTGGATATAAGTGTAGAACAGAGTACTCGGAGGTCTGTCACGTATGGTGGCAATTGGAGCTTCTTGAAGTAAGTCAATAAAAGGAGAAGTATTGGCACTGCATTAAAGTGAATTGGATTAAATGTGATTTCTTTTACCTATAAAGGACGAGTGTCGATATGCTAACTAGGGCTAAGTGTCTTGTCTACATCACGCACCAGGATGAAGATAGATCCCTCTCTGCTAGTCTGTCTGCCTGTATTTTCTTTTTTAACTCCCTTTCACTTTCTCCTTTTCTCTTTTATTTTCTTTCCTGCCATGTTGTTTCCTTTTTTGCTATCTTGCTCTTGTTCTGTCACACTGTTTCCCTCACTCCCTCAAGGGTGATTCCAATTTGTCTTACAACTTGCCCATCCTCTCCAGATTAGACAAGTTAGATCTCTCTCCTCTTGAAGAAAACAGGTCCGGGAGTTGACCTGACCAAAGGCCTTTAAAATAATGAAAGATTTTGATTGGTGTGGATGCAGAGAGAATGTGGGGAAGAGGTTAACTCTAGCCTATAAAGGATAGGCACCAAGAAGTCCTATAGAGGCAGTGACTAGTTGTGAATGGGTTCTGTTCGAGTCAATTTGGAACACAACACAGGAAATTAGAAAATAGCTGCACCTAAGTACATGGTTATTTGTCAGATATTTAAAATTGCACTCCTGTATGGGATAACATTCATATTGTAGGTTGGATGTTGGTAATTTGGGGACCTCTGTGATGAGCTCAGAGGAATTTCATTCTTTGGTGCTGATGTAGAACTGGCCGTCACAGGCGGGTGTTTGGAGCAGGAAGTCTGGATGTGCTCAAGAGGCATCCTGAGAACATTGAGGGAGGGAAAGAGGGAGGAATGGGTGGTTACAGTGACAGACACCGGTGAGGACAGGTCAGTGGAGCACTGATCGCACGGTCTGCTCGTGTTGGATATCCTTCAAAACCTCTCTGTCCCCGCCCCACCCCCTTGTCTCGGTTTGCATTGTTGTTTGACTTGCGCACAGTTTTTTTTTAAAAATGAAGTTTGGCTTGTCAGGGACTTTGCAGATGTTCAGTTTTGGATTGTGAGTCAGGTGTGCAGCTCCCCATTGTAAGGACTCAGCAATAAGTCTCTGCTCCCTGTGATGTTCCTGCCCAGCAAATTCCCAAAAGAATGCTGCTTCTCTCCCCTGCTGACCATCTCTGGGCAGTGTCATTCGTGAGAGCTGTGACGCTGTGAATTCAAAATATCTTGCTTTCTTTTTGGGTTTGAGCACATCGCCTTCAAGTGTTTGCTGCTTTCTTGCTGCTCTTGCCTTGCGGAGTGCTGTTCAGTGACATGAGCATCAGCCAGCCATTGTGCTGCACTTGAAGGTACATCTCTCCTCGTTTATTACCCCATAATCCAGTATTGTGAATTGATTATTTAGCCTTGGAGAATACAGCCCTTCTCTGGGTTATTGCCTTAGCACCCAGTGAGTAGGAACACTGAACCTCGCAGAAGGCATGCAGGGACGCGGGAACTCTGGTCAGTGGTGCTGAAGTGCCAAGCCAGAGCAAACACATGCCACTGCAGGGTGGTACCGAGGCAGATCATGGCGATGCTCGGATAGAAGAGTCATTAAATCCCTACAGTGTGGGAGCAGGCCATTCAGCCCATTGGGTCCACATGAATCCTCTGAAGAGCATCCCACCCTCCCTATCCTGTCCTTGTAACCTGGCATTTCCCACAGCTAATCCACCCCGCCTGCACATCCCTGGACACTTATGGGCAATTTAGCACGGCCAATCCACCTAACCTGCACTTTGGACTGTGGAAGGAAATCGGAGGAAACTCATGCACACACGGGGAGAATGTGTGCATGCTCCAAACAGGCTGGAATTGAACCCGGGTCCCTGGTGCTGAGTCTGCAGTGCTAACCAGATGTTCCCTGGATTCTGCCTGGTGAAGACCTGGAGGAGTAATGGAAGCTTTAATGGAAGGAGATGAGCCCAGCTGTGATGGTGCTCTGTGATGGAAGCATGAGAGGGTGGGCAAGAGGTGTATTTACATATTAACTGGCTTGCCCTTCCTGAGACTGGAATTTACTTCGGGGAAAGTTGAAAAGTCCATACAGATTTCTTCCCACTTTTTTGTGTGGTCCTGCGTTTTGGACTTCTCTGGGGCATCCTTCCCAGCTTGGGAAATCATTCCACAGTCGGAATTGCCCATTTGCCAGGGTGGTAACCTGTGGTTGATGTAAAGGGCACGCTAACTCGATTTTAATTGTGCCTATGCAAAGCCAATTTTGTCAAACATTCCAGTTTTCGGTCGGTGCGTTTTTCTGCTAACGCTTGGATTCTCAGAAGTTTTCAGGGGTGCATTCCACCATCTGTGCTGTGGCCCTCACAGGGGAAGTACCCAGAGCAACCACTGGATGAGTTGGATTGGGATTTTGTCATTTTATTTCTGTGCCCTCCGACCTGCCCAATCCCAGCACTGTGTGTTGTACCAGTGGAACTTCCAATGACATCCACACCTCACCAATTTAGTAGAGGGCTTTGAGGTGGGTCTGGCTGCAGAAATGCTATCCTCTGGCTGGCATTTGTTCTGTAGACAGATGTGAATGCCCATCTCCCTTTGAATGAGAGATTGGGGAGCTGTGCTTACATTCCCCCAAGCAAGTTGCACTGTGGAAGATTTGAGAATTCGTGACAGAATAGTAATGTTACCATGGATGTGCATTGTAGCTACCTGCCTCCAGCGATACCACGTGGAAGTGCAGATGGCAGGAGATCAGTGGCCATGGTGTCCCACTTCTGCCAAGATGCCTCGCCCATGGCCCAGCATGTCTGGGTGGGTGGGGGTTGGGGGCTCGTGAGGAAGCAGATGGCC